CAGAGCGAGGCAGAGATAGGAGCAGAGGGAGAAGCTGGTTCCTCGCGGGGAGCCCGATCGGAATTCGATCCCAGGACCCCAGGATTACGACCTGAGCCACAGGCGATGCTCGACCACTGAGCCACCTAGGTGAAATTTTTTTAAAAATAAAATAAAATCTTAAAAAAAATAAAATCAGAAAATATGCATATTCTAGTATTAAACAGGTAAGTAAATATACTGTGACTAATAAAAACCAGATTTCTCACTATCAGAAAAATCTGTTAAAAATACAGAGAGGGGGTCAGCTAGAATAAACACTGTGGTGTTGGGACTGGAAGAAGAGGCATCAATGAACATGGTGCACTGTGAACTCATGGTATTCAAAATACAGACAGATGTGTCAAAATAGCTTTTGGTATCTACATGTATGTAGATACATGTATGTACATGTACATTACCTGACTGTCCACTCAGAGGGCTGAAAGTCCTAATGCCCAACACCAATGACCTCACCCAGCACCCAGGTCTTGGTGTCTCATGCCATTCTGCAATGGAAGGCACCAAGGCTTGTTGGGGGAATAGCCATATCTTCAGGGCTGTGGCAAGGAAATTATAAGATGAGCCTCCAACATCTCATGATGCCAGAAAGTAAGGAAGGGTTCAAGCACTAATGGGGACATGTGGACCATGTCAATGGACATGGGAGGCAACCTGAATGGGCTCCTATGCTAAATCTGGGACAATCTGACAGACAAAATAAATAAGGATCATTATGGATTATAACTCATATAAGAAGCTATAGAATAAAATATAATCTGTGAGTCCATAGTGATATAAATACTTAAATAAATGACGGTGAAGAGAAAAGTCTTCCCCACAGAATTCCAACCAATCAATGTAGAATGAGGAAAATTGAAAACTGCCACTTGGCAAATACCCAAGTAATAATTGTTTCAGGCAAGAATCAGCAACAGATGGTAAAATTACTAGGGAAAAGTAGAATAAGGAACAGGATATTTACAGAGTCCCTTAGTATCTCCATGAGGTAACTTATCAACAAGTAATTTACAGTGAAGGAACCTAAGAGAAACCATCTTAAATAAATGATCAAAGTTAACATCACCAGGAATGGGGCAAATGGACACCACACACCTCCTGATATGACACACTGAGGATACAACTTTTTGGGGTAAGGATATCACATAAGTGGAAACAAAAGAGGAGAGAGAGGGGTGGTCATTTTAAGGTGGGTCAGGAGAGGTTTCTCTGAGGAGGTAACACTGAAGCTCTGACCTGGGTGGTCAGAAGACTTGGAGAGGAATATTCCAGGAACAGCTCTGTCCAAGGACTTAAGGCACAGAAAGAAGGCAAGTATCAAGTATACAGTGAAGAACAAAGTGCATAAGAGATCAGGGAGACAGGAGACCCCCCTGTTATATATGGCTTTGTAGTCTTTTTTAAGATTTTATTTATTCATTCATGAGAGACATAAAGAGAGAGAGAGGCAGAGACACAGGCAGAGGGAAAAGCAGGCTCCATGCAGGGAGCCCGACGCGGGACTCGTTCCGGGGTCTCCAGGATCACGCCCTGGGCCAAAGGCGGCGCTAAACTGCTGAGCCACTGGGGCTGCCCTCACATGCCCTCCTCACCATCCCCCAGTTACCCCATCCCTTCACACACACACACACACACACACACACACACACACACACACACCCAGTGGAGAATGTTTTGAAGGCAAAGAGTTGTAGACGGAGACACTAGAAGCAGGGAGACCAGTTTGGGGCTTTTGTAGAAGTTCAAGCAGGAGATGATGATGGTCCCAGCTAGAGGAGTGTTCACTACTAATGGGATTGTAGACAAGTGGGAAGATTTGAAACCTTAGTTAAGTAGTATAATCAACAAGATTTAGCAACTAAATAGAAACGGGAAATGAGTAAGTAGGAGTCCAAGATGACTGCCAGGTTTCTGCCTTGAGCCAGAACTGGGTGGATGATGGTACCATTCATTAAAATAAAGAAAACTGGGGGAGGTTGGTTTAGGAGTTGGGGAGAGAAATGATTAATTCAATCATCAACACCACACATTGAAAATGCCTGTGGACATCCCAATGGAGAAGTCCAGCAGCTTCCAGGCTGGCATTTAGAAGGAAGGGCTGGGGCACCCAGGTGGCTCGGTCAGTTGAGCGGGACTCTCGGTTTTGGCTCAGGTCATGATCTCAGGGTTGTTAGATTGAGCCCCGCATTAGGCTCCACACTCAGCATGGAATCTGCTTCAGATTCTCTCTCCTTCTCCTTCTGCCCCTCCCCTCTCCTCATTCTCTCTCCCTCTCCCAAGTAAATAAGCTTAAAAAAAAAAAAAAAAAAAAAAAGGAAGTGCAGGGTTGGAGATTCCACACTGGAAACTTTGCACATAACTGAATCCATGAGATTAGATGGTCCTAAGGTGGGCTTCTTGGGTCTGGGGACTTCCTGAAAGTGCAATAAAAACACACATGTAGGGGATCCTTGGGTGGCTCAGCCATTTAGTTCCTGCTTTCGGCCCAGGGCGTGATCCCGGAGTCCCAGGATCGAGTCCCAGGATCGAGTCCCGCATCGGGCTCCCTGCATGGAGCCTGCTTCTCCCTCTGCCTGTGTCTCTGCCTCTCTGTCTCTCATGAATAAATAAAATATTAAAAAAAAAAACCACACATGTAGGTATACACATGCATGACTCTCGGAAGAGGGTTGATATTTTTAACTGATACTTTAAGAGAGCCCTGACTGACCTCCCTTGTCCCCTTCCTCCCAAAAAGGTTAAAAGTCACTGGTAAATTGTAGGGAGAAAAAGTCATTGGAGAAAAATGAGTATTTAAGGGACAGAGGAAGGAAAGGGCCTGGTAAGCAGCATTCAGAAAGGAAGGAGAAAAATGGGAATGAGATTTGAAGGGGAGGGAGGGGGTGGGTAGTGGTGTCAAATGCTGCAGAGATTAACATCAGATCTAAAAAGCCGAGCTTCTTCACACTCATTAATGGTCCTGGAACCTCTGCCCAAAGGCTGTCCTGAGTGTCATCAGATGCACTCTGCCTCTCCTTCCCTGGACAGTAGGGTTTTCCTCTGGTCTTCTCAGAACCTGGCAGAACAGAAAAGGGATCCCACACCTGGAAATCAAGCCTATGGCTTACATGATGCCAAGAGACTCACCCTGGCTGGCAAAGGTCCATCAGTACACACGTGATGCAATCAAATAAACCCAACTTGAGCTTGGAAGACTGACAGATATTTAGGATTTCCCTGTTCTTGTTTTGAGTTTTGTTTTTTATTTTTAAGTAATCTCTACACCCATCGTGGGGCTCGAATTTACAACCTGGAGATGAAGAAGTGCATGTTTCAACTGTGCCAGCCAGGCACCCCAAGATTTTACTGTTCAATGGGGGAGGGGAGAGGGGGAGCAGAATACAAAATGATTCAGACTTACTACACCCAACCATATAAAATAATACCTAGAAAATTGAAAGAAACAAATATACCTAAATATTTACAGGGGTAACCTCTGGTTGTTGAGATTATAGGTTTTCCCCTCTATTTCTTTATAGTTTCCAGATGTTCCACAATAAGTATATATCAGTTTTATAATTGAACTGATTTTTTTTTAAGATACAGTTTCTGTAGCAGTGACAGTCATGGCCTAATTTCATAGTGGAAAAACCCATTTTGGGTCACAGAGCTCTTTAAGACACTGATGGTAGCTATGGGCCTGCTCCCTAGAAGAATGCTCATAAGCTCTTTTTTTTCCTTTTTTTTTAAAGATTTTATTTATTAAAAAAAATAAATAAAGATTTTATTTATTTATAAGAGACACACACAGAGAGAGAAGCAGAGGGAGAAACAGGCTCCATGCAGGGAGCCCGAAGCAGGACTCCATCACGCCCTGGGTCAAAGGCAGGCGCCAAAACACTGAGCCACCCAGGGATCCCCTGCTCATAAACTCTTAAACATACTGACACCTCATTCTGCATCCCTTGGGGTGGGCCTGATACCAAGAAAATGCCCCTCCCTGCCTGTAGGAGGCAGGATGGCTCTGGGGCTAGCAACAACTCATTCTAATACTGACCAACAATGTTGAAATTTCAAAGAAATGTGTAAATCCAAAATGGAGGGGCGCCTGGATGGCTCAGTGGTTGAGCCTCTGCCTTTGTTTCAGGTCATGATCCTGGGGTCCTGGGATAGAGTCCTGCATCCGGTTCCCTCCAGGGAGCCTGCCTCTCCCTGTGCCTATGTCTCTCTCTGCCTCTCTCTGTGTGTCTCTCATGAATAAATAAAATCTTTAAGAAAAAAAAATGGAAATACTAACAAAAGAAGCCCAGAGGTGAGTACTGGCTATGCTGTCCCAGCTCTGTCCAAGAAGGGGGGTTACTCTGACCTGAGCCCCAAGATCACAATGGCAGGTCTGTCATTCTTGGGGAGACAGTTGTGCTCAGCAGCTAAACATCTCATTCACCCCACTGACTCCCTGGTTCACATCCCTAGTTCATGAGTGCCTTTAGGAAAAATGTGGCTGCTTTTAGGGCAGAGGTTTATCAACCTGAATCACTCTAAGGGCCAGAAAGGCCCAGAATAGGAAAAATGAACTGCCAAGATATAATCAATCTTTATTTTATATGTGATAAGCACAAACATATGATGCCAGAGATTGTACTTTGACATTGGACAAATATAATTTGGAAGTAGAAATAATTAAAGTTTCATGATTCCTTTCTCTTTAGATTTGAAATCCAACACCTCATATTCCCTTCTCAAGCCCCAAGGTGTCAATCAAGGTCAGGCTGTGAATCTTGCACAGCAACATGCAGCAGAGAATTCATCTCCGAGTCTTTTAACCAGGAGCAAGGTTTAGTTTTATGTTGTTTCATAACAGGAAAGAGCTGCTCACAAATGTAGGTCCTTCCACACATGGACAGAATCTTTGCATAGTGGTTTTTTTGTTTTTTTTTTAAGATTTTATTTATTTATTCATGAGAGACACACACACACACACACACAGAGAGAGAGAGAGAGAGAGAGAGAGAGAGAGAGGCAGAGACACAGGCAGAGGGAGAAGCAGGCTCTATGCAGGGAGCCCGATGTGGGACTTGATCCAGGGTCTCCAGGATCACACCCTGGGCTGCAGGTGGCGCTAAACCGCTGCACCACTGGGGCTGCCCTGCATAGTGGTTTTTATATTTAGGGTAACCATTCCCAAGATAATTGTAGAATTCTGGGATCCCAACACCATCATATTTCATTTTCAGTATAGTGTTGCACTGCAATTCAAGAACTTCCATTTGTAGCTCCTCGCTCACATTATTAATATTAATTGAGAAAGGTGAACTGAACAATGTCAGTTCATTTTCATAAAGTTTGAAATCAGAGAACCGTTTTTGGAATTCAGTCTTCAACTCTTTAATTCGGGAAATATAGTTCAGGCCATCTCTTTCATTTTCAGAAACTAATTTCAGCGTAGGGAAGTGGGCCAGACTGTTCTTTGTCAAATGAGTTTCACAAAGACACAGTTTCATTAGCAATGAGTGAATTGAGTCCTACATCTGTGTAACCACTTGTGAACGCCTTTGCAAGGAAATATCCACTGTCTTTAGGTAAGTCATAATGTCAACCAAAAAGGGTAAGTCTTTGACCCAATCTTTGCTAGTAAGCTGAGGAGCCGATTTTCCTTTAGAAGACATGAAAATAATCAATTTCTTCCAACAGTTCAAAAAATGGGCATTTCCATCCCATGGGGCAGAACGGGCTTCCATACTGTGCATCTACCTCACTGAACAAAGCACTGAACTTGCTGCAGTCTGAGCCATGGGAAAATATCCAGGTTATGGTATGAATCACTACGTACATGACATGATCCATTTTTAACTTTTTAGCACAAAGTGATTCCTGGAGAATGAGGCCATGCACGGACCTGAGCTCTGTATCTTTGCAAAGCCCTGACACTCTAGATTTAAGTTTTGTAACAAGCTGTTCAACCCCAACCAGTGTAGAATTGCCATCTGTGCTAACATTTACTGTGACCAGTCTACATTAAAATTTTTAAGATTTTTCTCAACGCAGACAAGTAATTCATTTCCTGATGCAGTGCCTGTCATGGAAACTGCGTCTAAAAGTTCTTCCATCACATCCAAAGTCTCATCAACACCACGAATAAATACAGCCAACTGGGGTGGGGAGGGATTACCTCCATCAGCCCTTTCAGGAGCAGCAATGGAGAAAGCCACAAATGATTTAGCTTTTTCTTGCAGCTTGTCCTGTAAGTTCTCTGCCATGTGGCCCACATGCTGCGAAACAGTATCAGCACCTAGTCTTAGACTGGCAAATGCTTGTCTCTGTTCAGGGCACATAATTTCCACTGCACTCAACAGACATTCCTTTATAAACTCGCCATCTGTAAAAGGTTTTGATGCCGGGGCAATTTTCTCACTTAATATGTAACTGCATTTCATAGCAGCGTCATTTATTTTATTCATGTTCAAAATTAAGTCATGTTGAAATTTCAGTCTTTTTTTCAGTTCGCTTTTTTATCATGCATCTCTTCTGTATATCCATCGTGGTTCCTACTATGGTTTGTTTCATATTGGCGCCTGAGGTTAAGTTTCTTCGACACAGACACACTCTGTTTGCATATTAAACACGTAGGAACATTCTTGACCTCCACAAAGAAATAAGCTCGCTCCCATTTTTCTTGAAACGTGTGGCTTTCTTGTTCTAGCTTTCATTTTCCCACTTTTGAAAGACACAAACGCATAATATTAAAATGTCACCTTTACGAAAAGTACTACTTTGCAAGAGAAAAGTATTGGCTCTATTTTTTCAAAGTCTAAGTGTTTTTACTCCTTAGAAGTGGAGGAGAACTGTGAGAATCATGGGGATTATAGGAAACAGCTAAGAAGAAACCTCTGATTCTCCAGTGCACACAACTCTAGGAATTGGGTAGGTTGCATGTAGGAATGCAACCCTAGGGCATGGTTTCCTGATGCAGTACCGAAAGAAGCTGGAAATCCAGATTTCTATGTGAAATTCCTTGATTCTTAAAAATATTCATAATAAATTGGGTTTTTCCCCCCTATAGATACTATCTAAGCTACAACATCTATCCCTCAGATTAGGCAGAGTAGGGACATTGGTTTGGGGGTCTCTTGTTTAAACCTGACAAAAAGTGGGATCCCTGGGTGGCTTAGCAGTTTGGCGCCTGCCTTCAGACCAGAGCGTGATCCTGGAGTCCTGGGATGGGGTCCCACATCAGGCTCCCTGCAGGGAACCTGCTTCTCCCTCTGCCTGTGTCTCTGCCCTGCCCCCCTAATGAATAAATAAAATCTTCTAAATAAATAAACAAACCTGACAAAAACTCTAGTTGAAGAGAATGAAATGTCTAAAGAGAATTAAACAGCTGATTCTGAAACCACAGGTTTAAAAGTCTGTCCAAACAGAAACCTAGAAGGTACCCAAAGAGGGGAGCTAACCTGATGTATCTCAAAGTGCATGTTTTTTGCAGCCTTCAAGGTTATAGTTAACTAGAATACTCATTCACTTGATAGGATTTACACGTTTTTCATACACGGAGAAATTTTATTTAAGAAGGTTTTGATGAGAAATTTTATTTAAGAAGGTTTTGAATAAGAAATTTTAGTTAAGTGTGTCTATCCTCCTGTTAGTGCCTCTCTGGGGAACCTTGCTAACAACCCTGGAAAGTCTCAGTCTATAGAGCTTTAGCATCCCTTACTTCTACACATTCTGTTCTTCCTGCCTCTCTCTTCTTGGCTTTGACTTTTCTCTCCAGCATGGTCCAGAACTATGGCAAGCCCACCGGTCTTTGTTCCTTGCTTCTCTTCTACGGCTTGCTCTGTATCAGCCTGTGACTTGAAGTCAACATAGGCAATCCTGCAATTGTGGGGGTGGGATCACGGAGAGAAGAAAGAATAGTCAACATTTAGTATTCTTGTCTTCTGATTTAGTAATACACATACAAGACAAAATACAAAAGGTAGAAAAGGATATGAAGTGTGCCTTCTGTCCAATTTCTTTCCTTATAGGCAGCATGACATATATATAAAAGCAAATGTATATATATATATACACACTCTATTTTTCAAAGATTGACTGGGATATAATTTACATATCATAAAATTTACAATGAGGGGCTCGTGGCTGGCTCAGTCAGTGGAGTGTGCAACTCTTGATCTCAAGGTCGTGAGTTCAAGTCTCACATTGGGTATAGGGATTATTTAAAAATGAAATCTTAAAAAAATAAAAACAGTGTATAATGGTTTCTAGTATATTTACAGAATTCTAGAACCATCACCATGATCTAATTTTAGAACATATTTATCATCCCCCCCCCCAACAAAGTATCCATTAGCAGTCACTCCTTATTCCCTCCAACTCATTCCCATCCTCTGGCCCAACTACTATGCTACTTGCCTATTCTGGACATTCCATAGAAATGGGATCATATGAATATGCAATCTTTTGTGTCTGGCTTCTTTCACTTAGCCTAATGTTTTCCAGACTCATCCAAGTTGTAGCATGTGTCAGTACTTCATCCCTCGTTATGCCAGGATACTATTACCTTGTGTGGAAATGCCATGTTTTGTTTATCCATTCATCAGCTGGTTGATATTTGGGGTTGTTTCCACTTTTTTGGCCATTATGACTGAAGGTGATATGAACATGTGGTTGGAAGTATGCGGCTATTTGTTTTCATTTTGGAGGGCGTACACACCTAGTAGCAGAAATGCTGCACCATATGGCAACTCTCTGTTTAACATTTTGAGAAATTGCCAAATAGTTTTCCAAAGCAACTGCACTATTTTATTTTACATTCCCACCGGCAATGAATAAGGGTTCCAATTTCCCTGTAGCCTTGTCAACACTTATTATTGCCTTTCTTATTACAGCCACTCAGATGGGCATGAAGTGGGATCACACCATGGTTTTGATTTGCATTTCCTTAACAACTCACGTCGAGCACCTTTTCATGTTCTTATTGGCCATCCATATACTTTGGAGAAATGTCCATTCAAGCTCTTTGCCCATTTTTCAATTAGTTAGTCTTTTTTTTTTAATTATCTTTTTATTTTTTATTTATGATAGTCACAGAGAGAGAGAGAGAGAGAGAGAGAGAGAGAGAGAGAGAGGCAGAGACATAGGCAGATGGAGAAGCAGGCTCCATGCACCGGGAGCCCGATGTGGGATTCGATCCCGGGCCTCCAGGATCGCGCCCCGGGCCAAAGGCAGGCGCTAAACCGCTGCGCCACCCAGGGATCCCTTATTATTGAGTTGGGAGAGTTCTTCACAAATTCCAAATCCAAGGCTCTTAGAAGATACATGATTTGCCATATTTTCTCTCAGTCTGCAGAGGGTTCTTTTTTACTTTTTGTGTAGTGTCCTCTGGAGTATAAATGGTTTCAATTTTGATAAAGCCCAACTTGTCCATCTTCTATTTTATCATCAGCACAACACTCCAACCTAGGATCACAAGGATGTACTCCTGTGTTTTCGCCATAGTTTTGTTTCAGCTCTTACATTTGGGTCTTTGATCGATTTCGAGTTAATGTTTATAGAGTTAAGTCCTCCATTATGTTTTTACATGAAAGAGAATATTAAACACACTGTTCTATATCTTGCCTTTATATTGGAGATTATTTTCCATCAGTACATAAAGTGCTGTTTCACTTCTTTTTTCAACTGCATAGTACAGTATCTTTTGGATGTACCAGAAAATTTTAGCCAGTTTTCCATTGATAGATGTTCAGGTTAATTCTAATTTTGCATCAACCAACTTTGTAATACATTATGTCACGTGTCTATCTGTGGGATAAATTCTTAGGAGTGTAATTGCAGGATAAAATGATACATGCAACTATAACAAGAAATACCAACTCATCTCCACAGGCACTTCACCAATCTTCCTTCTACCAACGAAGTCTGAGTATGCCAGTTTCTCTAACCCTCCTCAATACTATGGTAATGCTTTTTGATCTCTGAACACCTAATAGGTAAAATGTTACAACTAAATTAAATTAATTAAAATTGCCTTTTAACTTACAATTCTTTTAGTATGTGTGAGGATGAGTATCTTTTTTATGCTCAAAAGAAAATTCCTTTTCTGTGACCTGTTCATAATTTGCTAATATTTTTATGCGGTTGTTATTCTTTTCTAAAATATTTTATTTATTTTAGAGAGAGACAGAAAGAATATGAGCAGGAGGGGCAGAGGGAGAGAGAGAATCTCAAGCTGACTCCAGGCTGAGCACTGAGCCCAACATGAGGCTTAATCCCATGATCCCAAGATCATGACCTGAGCCAAAACCAAGAGTCGAATGTTCAACAGACTGCACCATCCAGTCGCCCCTGTTGGTCTTTTTCTTACTGATTTGTGAGATGCACTTTATTTTTTTTTAATAAATTAATTTTTATTGGTGTTCAATTTACCAACATACAGAATAACACCCAGTGCTCATCCCGTCAAGTGTCCCCCTCAGTGCCCGTCACCCATTCACCCCCACCCCCCGCCCTCCTCCCCCTCCACCACCCTTAGTTCATTTCCCAGAGTTAGAAGTCTTTATGTTCTGTCTCCCTTTCTGATATTTCCCACACATTTCTTCTCCCTTCCCTTATATTCCCTTTCACTATTATTCATATTCCCCAAATGAATGAGAACATACACTGTTTGTCCTTCTCCGATTGACTTACTTCACTCAGCATAATACCCTCCAGTTCCATCCACGTTGAAGCAAATGGTGGGTATTTGTCATTTCTAATGGCTGAGTAATAGATGCACTTTATCTATCAGAAAATTAGCCCTCAGTTTTAAAAGAAATCATGATTTTTTTTCCTGGTTTGTCACTTGTCTTTCAACTTTGCTTATGGGATTTCCTCTACTCCCCCACCCCGCCCCATGTAGAAGTGTTTTATATATATTTTTTTATTTTTTTTATTTATTTATGATAGTCACACAGAGAGAGAGAGAGAGGCAGAGACATAGGCAGAGGGAGAAGCAGGCTCCATGCACCGGGAGCCCGACATGGGACTTGATCCCGGGTCTCCAGGATCGCGCCCTGGGCCAAAGGCAGGCGCCAAACTGCTGCGCCACCCAGGGATCCCAGAAGTGTTTTATATTTATGCAGTCAAATTTATCTGTTCTTTTATAACTTCCAGGATTTGTGTCATACTTAACAGGCTTCCCCTTCTTGAAGATTACTAAAAACAAACAAAACAAAAACATTCTCCACATCTCCCTCTACTACTTTATCATTTCATATTTTCATTGTAATCCTTCACGAACCTGTAACTTACTTTGGTGAAAGATATGGAGTAAGAAAAAAAAGGAAAAAAAAAGATATGGAGTAAGGATCTGTTGAGTAAGCATATTCTTTTTTTTTTTTATCTTTCTTTTTTAAGATTTTATTTATTTATTCATAGACACAGAGAGAGAGAGAGGCAGAGACACAGGCAGAGGGAGAAGCAGGCTCCACGCAGGGAGCCCGATGTGGGCCTCGATTCCGGGTCTCCAGGATCACACCCCAGGCTGCAGGCGGCGCCAAACCGCTGCGCCACCAGGGCTGCCCGAGTAAGCATATTCTTGAAGAATGCACCACACTCTCTTCCCATAGGTATTATGCTTCATTTAATATGGTCATGGATTCCCTGGCATCTCCTATCTTCCTTTTGTAATAATTCTTTATGTAAAGGAATGATTCTAAAGACTTAAGTATATCTAATCAAAAGGTAACTAACATTAGAGAAATTCTATGGCTTTTGCAGCAACTTTTCATTTTGTGACTAATATTGCTGACTACATGCGTGGCAGAGAGCCCCAAAACCCCTCACACTAAACACTGACAATTGCAAATTGCTAACAATATGGGATTTATTCTTTCAGACTTGTTTTCTCAATTGGCAGGATTCTTTTCTAGAGCTTATGTTATTCAGGATATACTGGTAGAGTAGTCTAAAATAGACTATTTTAGAGTTCACCTATACCAACAATTTTCACTTAAATGTATCTGTAATCCTGATATGCAAGCTGCACCTCATTAAGAAATCCTTCAGGGATCCCTGGGTGGCGCAGCGGTTTAGCGCCTGACTTTAGCCCAGGGCGCAATCCTGGAGACCCGGGATCGAATCCCACGTCCGGCTCCCAGTGCTTGGAGCCTGCTTCTCCCTCTGCCTGTGTCTCTGCCTCTCTCTCTCTGTGTGACTATCATAAATAAATAAAAAAATTTAAAAAAAAAAAAAAAAAAAAAGAAATCCTTCAAAATAGGGTCCCCTGGCTGGCTCAATCATTGGAGCATGCAACTCTTGATCTTGGGGTTGTGAGTTCAAACCTCACACTGGGTGTAGAGATTACTTAAAAATAAAATCTTAAAAAAAAATTCCTTCAAAATACATCCCACTCCATCCTTTCTAATTTTACCACACTCACCTCTTACTCTACCAAAGCCTAGCTACACGGCGCTAGTGTTTCATTGATTGTTACAACATAGTTCTAATGGACCAATTCAGTGCTGTTTTGGTATCTGTCCAGGCAAGTCAGCAAACATGGTGTTTCATTAGCGTCAACCTTGGAGAGAGAAGAATGGAGGTAATCTATTACTGAATTCGTCTAATCTTCAATCTTAAACTTTGTAGAATAAATGTTCATTTCTCAATGACACTACCACAGTTTTCTAGAAGCTTCCGGCTGTCCATTTATGATGCCCCCTTCAGTTTTCTATGCCTGCTGGTAGAAAGGTTGGATAACTACTCTTCCCTTCCCTAAAATCAGGCATTAAGTGATATAGGAGAATGCAATGTAATTCTGTTATGTCTGAATTCAGTAGAAATACACTCTTTTTCAATATATAAAACATATGTTTTACTTGTCCTATTCTTCCTCACCAATCTGATTTGAAAGGTATCCTTAAACACATCTTTTGAGTCATGTTAAGTGGCTGTCAGGCATGTTCTTGATCAAACGTGTTTTGGCATTCAGATCTACGTTAACACAAAAGAGTATTTTTAGTCTGGGTTCAGATCTAACAAGCATTGAAAATTCGCTAAAAGAGAAAAAAACACTTCTCCAAGAGTTGGAGAGCGTTAATAGCAATACATATTCCTTCATTTAACAAATATTTAGACACATATCTGGGCGACAGCTATGCTACATGCTACATGAGAAAAGACTTATCCTCTATTCTTGGGAATGTGGTCTTACTGGGGGAAAAGGCTATGTAAGCAGTCACATAATTACAAACTCTGGAAAGTGCCAAGAAGGAAAAGTAAAAAGGGAAATGAGAGCATCTAGTAAAGACTTAACCTAGGGGCACCTGGCTGGCTCAGTCAGATGAGCATGTGATTCTTGATCTCCGGGTTGTGAGTTTGAGCCCCACGTTGGGTAAAGAGATTACTTAAAATAAATAAAGTTAAAACAAACAAACAAACAAACAAACAGGGGTGCATGGGCAGCTCAGTCAGTTAAGCATTTAACTCTTGATTTTGGCTCAGGTCATGAACTCATCAGGGTTGTGGGACTGAGTTCCATGTTGAGCGCCATGCTCGGTATGGAACCTGCCTAAAGATTCTCTCTCTCCTTCTCCCTCTGCTTGTCCTTGTTCATGTTCTCTCTCTCTCGAAAGAGAAAGAAAGAAAGAAAGAAAGAAAGAAAGAAAGAAAAGAAAAGAAAGAAAGAAAGAAAGAAAGAAAGAAAGAAAGAAAGAAAGAAAAGAAAAGAAAGTAAAACAGAAAGAAAGTCCCACCTAGACTCCGCCACTGCCCCCCCCCCCCAAAGGACTTAACCTAGTCTGGTAGTAAGGGAAATTTTTTCTGATCTTGAGGAAATGAACTTTAAGCTGTGATTCCATGGATGGGCTTCAGGTAGCCCTGGAATGAGTCCCAGAGACAACATTATGGCAGAGAAGGTAAGGTACAGTAGACAAAGAACATTATGACAGGGAAGGTGAGCCATACAGCTATAGCATAGAGGGTGAGAGCAATGTAGATAAAGTTTGTGCTGTGCAAGTAGGTGACCTGGTGGTAACTGACTACTTGCACAGAGTAAAAATCCAAGACTTATTCCTGACCCAGAGTCTTCTAGATACACAAGTATCTATAAACAGTTAACTTATTTGTATACCTTTCTTTACTTCCTTTCCTTTTGTTTTTCTCAATTTAATTTCATACCCAAGGACTTTTGTCTCACTAAGTTTCAAGGCTTTTCTCTGGTCATCAGCAGATTTAAAATTTACATAACCAAATTTCCTACAGAGATGTAAAAGAAAAGGGAAAAAAAAACACCTAGGTAAGATGTAGAGGCACGACTCTAGTTGACTAGTCACACTGGATGTGAAAGTGGAAGTCAGCATTGAGTCATTACAATTTAAAACCAAGGCTCCACCAGCTAGCAATATAAATGTCATAAAGAAACCAGAGAGGAATGGTTCTCACCCTGGGGCAAGTTAGACAAGGGCTAGAGACATTTTTGGCTGTCACAACTGCAGGAGTGCTAGTTGTGGGTGGAATGCAGTGGGTGGAATCCATAGCCTGCAATCCACTAGACAGTCCCCCGCCACAAAGAATTATCTGGCCCAAAATGTTAACAGTGCCAAAATCAAGAAACCCTGTCCTGGAGCAAGGACTAAGAGTCAGTGCAAATTCACCTGTTGAAATCTTTATTAGTTTTCTGTTTAGCCAACTGACCCAATTTAACCGAAAGCTATAGAAAATGAAGCTTGAAATTATGAGGTTTTGAATTTTTGTTTTAAGAAAGGGCCATCTACATTTGCGAATTGGAACAAAAATATCACTCGTAATGAGGAATGTGTTAGCAAACCGAAGGGCTACTACAAATATATTTTTTAATGCAAAAGAAATTTGTATTTCCTGCAAATGCAACAGTATTACAAAATATAGTTAACAAAAACCGTACTGGCAATGTGACAAAAGTCGTGGCAGAGGCTCTGGAGCCAGACGGCTGTACTTAAATACTAGCTTGGCCATTGTCTAGCCATGTGATACAGGGTACATTACTTAACTTTTCTGTGCCTAAAATTTCTCCTCTGTGAAATGGGGATAATGTCAGTGATTACCACTGAGGATTGTCTTAACAGATCCAGTGACTCACTCTGAACTGGTCATAAGGAAGGTCATAAGTAAGGAATTAGAAACAATGCCTGGAATAGTGAATGCTCAGTGAGTTCACTATTATCATTATCTTTTTGTTTTTACCTAGGACAGTCTGAGTACTATATGCTCACACCCAAGAATATGCTTCTGATACAAAAGAAGTGAGAAAGAGAAAATTCGAATCAGCAAAAAAGGAGGAGTGATACAGGACCCATATGTGCCACCAGAGCTAGGGGGCTGTGATTAAAGGTGTGATTCGCTTTAAAGTAGTTTGGGGCAAATAACATCGCTCACAGTGGAAAATCACGAAACTATGGTTCTGTGAAGACAAGGAAAAATCTCAGGATTATGTTAACATTTCAATTGGAAAAATGGGATAGCAGAGTTTGATCTAATGGGTTTTCTAAGGGTCACCAAAGGGTTTTAAATACATTAGTCTGTCTTATCCATGGCTTCAGTTACCCAGAGTCAACTATGTGGTCTGGAAGCAGATGATTCTCTTTCTGACCTAGCATCAAAAGGTCAATAGTACTCTAATGCTAGGTCACGACGCCTATGCCATGGACCTCACTTCATCCCCTCATAGAGACGTTTTATCATCTCACATCATCACAAAGAGGGCGAGTATGCTGCAGTGAGATGTTTTGTGAGGTTCCAGAAACCACATTCATATAACTTTCATTAGAGGATATTGCTGTAATTATTCTACTTGTTATATTATTATTAATCTCTTATGGTGGCCAATTTATAAATTAAACTTTATCACTGATTTGTATGTAAAAGAAACAACATAGTGCATGTAGGGTTCAGTACTATCTGTGGCTTCAGGTATCCACCAGGAATCTTATAATGTATCCTCGAGGATACAAGACTACTATACTCACTCTGAACTGCAAGAGGCTGAGGTAAAACCCCTCTAAAAGGTAAAGAGCAGGTCACAAAAGGATTGGACAACACAAAAGTCTAGTAACCCACAACGAAACAGAAAGTTACAGGAACTCCTAATTCTTCCAGGGATAATAATGCTGGGCTGATAAACTTGATATTCTTAATTTATTGGAATTTACCTGGACAAGCCAACTCTGACACCAACAACTATGAGATCATTTTTAGCAAAAAATTCACTGAGACCAGTTTTTTTGGTTCAGCAGCAGTTTTGGTGAAATTCAGGTTTCCAACAAACAGTCTGAAAGTTAAAGGTAGTTCAACTGCCATATGAAAAGGTTAAAAAGAAAAAAGAAAAGAAAAGAAAAAAAGGAACTCAAACTGTTCAGAAACAATGATGCTACAAGAAAATTCCATTAAAGATTCTGGCATATTGTAATAACCAAACTGCAATAAAAATCCCCTTGTTTGCCACTTGGGCTTTTACTCTGTCCACAAGTATCATACCTACACTACATCTATTCTGTTAATATGAAATTCTCTATGTTTTGTTTGTGCTTTAAAACACAGCAAAGGGACGCCTGGGTGGGTCAGCAGTTGAGCATCTGCCTTTGGCTCAGAGCGTGATCCTGGGGTCCTGGGATCGAGTCCCCACATCGGGCTCCCTACATGGAGCCTGCTTCTCCCTCTGCCTATGTGTCTGCCTCTCTCTCTGTGTCTCTCATAAATAAATAAATAAATAAAACCTTAAAAAAAAAAAGAAAAGAAAAACACAGCAAAGAAGTTACCTTCCAATTTCTGTTTTTTGGTTTCACGGGAAGCCTTCTGTTTGGCCATTTCCTTCTTCTGTTTATCAGGTGTTTCTTTGATAGACTCTGTGGGCAAAAGTCAGAATATTATATATTTTTAATGATCTGTCTGTATCACTAATGAGTTAACTGGAAGCTTTTACTGTATCCACAAATATCACCCCTATGGTAATACCTACTCTTCACAAGACATACAAGTTAGCTCTAGACAAGAGTACTTATAAAAGCATTTATAAATTAATTAGAACATTCTTCAAGTTCCTAAAAGACATCCAACAACCCCTGCCCAAAGGCTTCCCTTACAACTCTAATTCCTTGATATGGACCATCCCTCAATTGAGCTGATTTAGGCCATCCTGGCCTTCCTCTTTGTCTCCCTCTTCACATCCTTTGTCATCACTGCCCTTGTCCTGCTCGTCTTCCCTGACGCCCACAGGAAGGACCGTTCTCCCTCTGGCCCATGCAGAACATACACCTTTTTCAGAATCTAAATGAAAACCCACCTAACCAATGGCTCCCACACACTTGTTGAGAATAACAAATTATTCTTTCAGAGAAACTGCTCATAAATCTGACTATAATACACAAACCTAAGGAAAAAATTCAATGCCACTTTAACCTCTTTTTTTGAAATAATTTTAAAGGTACTGCCATTGTATTTAAGTAAAACTATTAATAATTACTTCTTTGGAAGCAGTATCATTTAAAATGTTACAGAGACTCAACTCCATCAGGACAAAAACAAAATCACTGACAACTAAGTTTGGGGGACAATTAACTGGCATGGCTCCTATGCACTGGGACAGAAATAATCAATGTAGAAAATTCAGAGAAAACACTGATTCTGATCACTTGGACAGCAGAGGTCAAAGGTCCACTGAGATTCCTCATCGACGAAGCCACACCTGAAAAGTCAGCCAGCAATTGCCAAGGCAACTGTCCGAAGGGTGGGTATATTCACAGAACCCGCCCCCAACGGGCATATGGAACGGCAAGCAGGGCCGACCCTTGCCATCTGCCAGTTGCTAGCCAGAACAGCCCTGGAAGAGAATTCGTCACCTTCTGCATCCTGGCCCAACTCAGCGTTCTTATATTCCTCTTCCTCATAGCTCCCATTCTCTTTTCACGGTCCTCGAGCTTGGCACCCCTCCTGTCTTTTGGCAATTGGGCCCTGGTGGCTGTCTTTCTGTGTGGTGACAGTTTCTCAGCAAACTTGGGAGCCAGAAACTTTTCCCCTCCCTACTTTATTTTTTGGAGTGGTAGTAATCTTCCCACCACTTTTCTGGGGGATGACAATCCGGAAAGAAGTGGCAACACAGAGAGCACATCTTCCCTGTGCCCACAGGGGTTACAACCACATTGTACAGTCAGCGAGTACAAGATCTGGTCAGGCACATATGTCAATGTCTATGTTGCTCTCTCTAAGGTGAATTTCTCAATGTGTAGTAAGAGAGCTCCCAGCACTACCTGCCATGCTCACCTAAAGAAAAAGAAAAAGAAAAAAAAAATCCTAGACTTCACTTAGAGCTATCAAATCAGAATCTTTACAGGGAAGGAACTAGAACTAGGTTACTAGAAGTTTCCAAGCTACTGCCCTAGGAAAATATACCAAGTCAATTACTGTTTAGGTGGCTCCACACACCATCAGAGTGCTCTTTGGTTTTTGTTTTATTTTTTTCTGTTGTTGTTTTTTGTTTGGTTTTGGGTTTTTTTTTTTTTTGGTTTTTGTTTTTGTTTTTTTAAGATTTTATTTATTTATTCATAAGAGGCATGGGGGTGGGGGCAGAGACACAGGCAGAGGGAGAAGCAGGCTCCATGCAGGGAGCCCGAAGTGGGACTCGATCCCAGGACCCCAGGGTCACGCCCTGGGCTGGAGGCAGGTGCCAAACCGCTGAGCCACCCAAGGATCCCCTGGTTTTTGTTTTAAAGATTTTATTTAAAAAAAAAAAAAAAAGATTTTATTTTTAAGTAATCTCTATACCCACTCTTTGCATACAAATAAATACCAAAGTGAAGAGCCCCCCACTACAGGCAACTGGAACATACAGAGGAACAAGAGCCAAGCCCCAAAGATTGGGCCTCATGCTTCCTAATTATATCATCAATTCCCAATCCACAGCTATTAATAACTGGGCATGGTATTATAAAACTAAATAACTAAAGATAAAAATTTTAGGGGCACCTGGGTGGCACAGTCAATTAAGCATCCAACTTGGTTTCAGCTCAGGTCATAATCTCATGGTCGTGCGATTGAACTCTGCATCTGGCTTCACCACAATCAGCACAGAGTCTGCTTGAGATTTTCTCCTTCTCCCTCTGCCCCTGCCCCTGCCCCCATGCTCTCTCTCTCTCTCTCTCTCTCTCAAATAAATAAATCTTAAAAAAAAAAAGTTAGCAAAACACTGAAGTCTCATCATACACAAAAGGACAAAGTGAAGAAACATGGGCAATAAATAAAACTAGTGTCTTTATCTTGCCAGTGTTAATTCAGAATGTCATAATGGAGGGAAGGCATTACTGGTTATGGGCTGAAAGATATCCCACTAAAATCCATATGTCAAAGTCTTAATCCACAGTATATAAGAATATTACTGTATTTGGAGACAGGCCTTTAAAGAAGTAATTAAGTTAAAATGAGGTCATTAGAATAGGCTCTAATACAATATGGCTGCTGCCCTTTTAAGAGATTAGGCCACAGATGACAAATGACCATGTGAAGACTTAGCAAGAAGGCTGACATTTACAAACCAAGGAGAGAGGCCTCAGAAGAAACCAAACCTACCAACACCTTGATCTTCAACTTCCAGTCTTCAGAATTGCTAGAAAATAAATTTCTGTTGTTTCAGCCACCCGTCTGTGAAATTTTGCTAAGATAACCCTAGCAAAGGAATATAACTGGTACATATAGCTCTCAATCCACATCACAGGAAGAGATAAGTAACTACAATGTGATTAGCATTACTGGTTATGAACACAATTTACAGGCAAGCAGATGAGGGACCAGTTCATCTGGCATGGGAATGATATGGGATCAGGGATGTTATGGGAAAGAGATGAGGGTTTTATTTATTTTATTTTTTTAGTAATCTCTACACTGAATGTGGGGCTCATGACCCCTAGATGAAGAGTAGCATGCTCTTCCAACTGAAGGAGCTAGGCACCCCAAGAGACAAGGGTTTTAATGAAATAATTTCAATGAGCCAACTTTAGAGTCTGGTTACTCTAAAAGTTCATTTAACTGTGGGAGTACTTCTATATGCTGCACCAATCAGAGGAAACCATTATAGGAATCACAATTTAAAGAGGAATGACCGGGTGGCCCCGGTGGCTCTGCGGTTTAGGCGCCACCTTCAGTCCAGTGCCTGATCCTGGAGACCTGGGATCGAGTCCCACATCAGGCTCCCTACAGGAGCCTGCTTCTTCCTCTGCCTCTCTCTGTCTCTCATTAATAAATAAGTAAAATCTTAAAAAAAAAAAAGAGGAATGACCAAAGGTAACCAGTGTGAACAGTCTAGAACATCACATACATACCAACCTAAGGAAAATATAATGTGATTACTCCTGTTTTCCTCCAAGAACCAGAGTCTGGATTCCAAAGCAAAAGTTGCATTCACCGAGAATTTTCTGATTGCTATAAAAGTTAATGCAACGTATTGTGAACATCATAATACAGTAGATGCTCTCTTAACTGTGTCTTAACTATGTCTACCTAACCAACTCATACTAACCTACATTTATGGCAAGACTGAATGAGTCTCATTTCCAAACAAGACTTACTAACCTGATGTCTGTGAAATGCTAAGTACATGTGGCTAGCAGGTTCTTCTGTGGTATTCACAGAACACCTGGCCATTTCTGTTTCCATACGCTAAAGTATATCCTTAATAAGCATCAGTTGTGTTTGTTCCAAACCTGTACATGTCTGTTGTATTTGCGGTTTCAATTACATAATAAAATCATATAAACCAATCAAATTAATGCAAAAAGTAAGTTAATCTGTGAAAACCACTTTGAATGCTTCGGACATATTTGATAAAGCTTAAAAATGCCACTGTAGTCAAATTAGGTGTGGATGAGCAACCATAAAAAGATGGGGAAAAAAGTAAAAATGCAGGAGTATTCTAATTGCTTTACTAGTTTTTTTTTTTTTTAAGATTTTATTTATTCATTCATAGAGACACAGAGAGAGGCAGAGACACAGGCAGAAGGAGAAGCAGGCTCCACGCAGGGAGCCTGACGTGGGACTCGATCCTGGGTCTCCAGGATCACACCCTGGCTACAGGCGGCGCTAAACTGCTATGCCACCAGGGCTGCCCCTTTACAAAAGTTTTGTTTTGCTTTAAAGAAACAAACTTTGGGGCACCTGCCTGGTTGAGTCAGCAGAGTATTCAGCTCTTGATCTTGGGGTCATGAGTCCGGCCCCACAGTTGGATGCAGAGATCACTTAAATAAAAACTCAAAAACAAACAGACAAACTTCAAATTACAGAAGATGCACTTATGAGTGTTCTCTGTACTGGGAAGACAAACTACTCCCAACACTGAACCCCAAGTCAAAAAACAAGGCCTTAGTCCCACATCAAAATATTGGTAAATGAACACACATTTAACATGTTTTAAATTGAAATCAGAAGGCATGTATGGGTAATTTACTTTTGATTACAACTACTAGATTGAATGGGGTTGAAGAAAGTTTCTATTATACAACTGGCTGTTCAAAGCAGACAATAAATAACATGCTAGCTGCCTCTCAAAACAAGTTGCTTGGGGCAGGGGAGGGCACGGGTGGGGGCAGGAGGAAAATCAAAAATGTGAATCAGGAAGTGGGTAGGGACTTTGGATTTGGCAGAACTATGTATGATCCCAGCTCTGTCACTTATTAATTATAAAACCATGAGCAAACGGGCACCTGGGTGGCTCCACGGTTGAGCATCTGCCTTTAGCTCAAGTAATAATCTTGGGGTCCAGGGATCGCATTGGGCTCCCCTGGAGGAGCCTGCCTCTCTCTGTGTGTCTCTCATGAATAAATAAATAAAATCTTTGGGCAGCCCTGGTGGCGAAGTGGTTTAGCGCCGCCTGCAGCCCGGGGTTTGATCCTGGGGACCCTGGATCGAGTCCCACATCAGGCTCCCTGCACGGAGCTTGCTTCTCCCTCTGCCTGTGCCTCTGCCTCTCTCTCTCTCTGTGTCTCTATGAATGAATGAATAAATAAATAAATTAATTAATTAATTCTTTATTTAAAAAAAAGAAGAAAACTATGAGCAATTAAGTTAATGACTAAATCTGTTTTCCCACGTAGAAAACAGAGCTGATGATACCTGCCTAATACAGTCACTGGGAAAATGAAATGAGATGCATTAAACCCCCACGGTGGCTACACACATGAAGCATTCACTGTTCACAGGCTGTGTACCCACTCACCCATCCCAGTTCTTTTAGGACTCATCTCAAACCTATCCATATTCAACTAACACAGGGGCGCCTGGGTGGCTCTGTGGGTTAAGCATTCGCCTTTGGCTCAGGTCATGATCTTAGGGTCCTGGGATCCTGCCCTAGATTGGGCTCCCTGCTTAGTGAGGAGCCTGCTTCTCCTTCTCCTACTCCCCCTGCTTGTGCTGTCTCTGTCAAATAAAATCTTAAAAAACAAAAAGAAAAACTACCACAAAGGCTCCCAACCAGAGCAGAAAACATAGTAGAGACCTAAATACTTGTCAAAAGAATAAATATGGAAACACAGATGTTTGACAGGCACACAAACTAATGGAATTTAATGAGGCAACTCTAAGAATCTAGAGAGTTTCTTTCAAACCAGTATTTCCAGGCAACCAAAAGGACTTTTTTTTTTTTAAAGGACTTTTCAAACAAAAAAATATTTTTGCATTCCCTCCAAACAAACCTCACTTCTCACAATGTATTATTCTTCTTACTTGATACTAGTATTTAATTTGCTCACGTTCTGTTTGGAATTCTTGCATCTACCTTCACGGCAGTGGTCTGCAATTTTTTTTTTCCCCGTAAAAATGACGGTGTCCGATTTTGGTAGAGTCTGGGGTGGGCTTGTAAAACTAGTCAGAAAGTGTTCACAGTACCACTTTTGCGATTAAAACAAGGCAGTTCAAACTGTTTTCCTCTGGATTTTGATTGTTGACCTTAGTTAAGTCCTGCTCTGCACCTATATACAATTACCTCATCTCTACCTCCACGGTCCTTGTCTTCCCACAACTCATCTTCCCCATCTTCTATCTCCTTTGGAGAGAAAAAAAAAAAAAACAACTCATTTCCTTCAATTCACCTGGATTTTTTTTCCTCTGCTTAAAATGGACACAATTATTAGGCTCATCACAGGGCCTTCAACACTCCATACTATGCATGTTCTCCCTCTAGGATCTGGATTAAGTTTCTAATTATAATAAACACGTTAGGCTTCATCCTAGAGTTACTTTCGATCGGAATCTTTTACTCATGCCACTGAGCATCAAAATATAGAGAAAAAGATCATTTTTGGCCTATGTCTGTAGGTCAGAGGTCCCATACCTTGTCTTTTGCCACGATCTAGAAAATGGAGAACTCCTCGAGGTTATCAGGCAAGCTTCCAAGAATTCCTCCCTTTTCCCTCTCATTCTGTTCCCTTCAACACGCGTTTTCAAATAATTTCGTTTTTAAAAAAATTGGTTCCACCACCAGGTGCTCAAATGAAGGAAACAGAGGGCCAAAATAAAGCCCCCTAACGGTGAAAACTCAGCACCAAGAGTTCAAGAGTCTTTATCTTTGCAGACGGAGAACCCAGGGCGAAGTGGAGCAGCGCCCATCCCCACCCACATGCAAACGTGCAGCACACATTAGGAGTCGCACACCAGAACCCAGGACCGCCGCTTCCCCGGGAAACCCGCACAGTCTCGCCGCTCCCGCGAGAGGCGACCGCGGGCGCACGGCCCCGCCCACCCAGAGCCACCGCGCGAGGCGGAGCCGGGCGGGAGGCCCCGGAAGCGCCCTCCGCGGCCCGCAGGCGCCGACAGGTCGAGAGCGCCCTCCCAGCGGCGGCCCGGGATGGAAGCCCCGGCGGCGCACACTCCGGAAGGAGACGGTTGCCCTAGTAACTCCGCCTCGGCCAATCAGAGCCCGCGCCGCCTCTGGGCCAATCCCGAGCCAGGACGGAGAGGCGCGCGCCTGGGGGCGGGGCCTCGAGTCACGGCCGCCGCTGCTGCGCCTGCGCGCAGGGCGGACCTGTTGGTCTTTTCGTCCGGGTTCGAGCGCGGCGTGTGCGGCGTTTCCCTGGTTGGTGGGGGACCAGGTGCGGCTCCTGCTACGTTCAGGCACCTGGCGGTGGGCCCGGAAGACGTGGCTAAGGGTCATAAAAGCCGCCACTCGTCGCGGGCTCGTGGGCGAGGCGGTTAGGCCGCAGCCCGCGCGGCGGTGCAGGTGGGAGTCCTCTCGCCCTTTTCAGCCGAGACGGAGGCGCGGGAGGGCTCGGGGTGCGCAGTCGGCCCCGCGCCCTCCCCGGGTCTCCCGGCGCCGTGGAAGCCGCGGTAGCCAAAGTCCCCAGGGCCTGCGTGGCCCCGGGCTGTGTTGCCTTTCGCACGTTTTATCATGGACGTTTCCAAACAAGTTTACATTTTAAGATTTATTTATTTATCTATCTATTTACCTATTTATTTATTTTAGACACAGAGAGAGAGAGGCAGAGACACAGGCAGAGGGAGAAGCAGGCTCCATGCAGGGAGCCCGATGCGGGACGCGATCCTGGATCTCCAGGATCGCGCCCTGGGCCAAAGGCAGGCGCCAAACCGCTGAGCCACCCAGGGATCCCCTGGTTTGGTTTGGTTTTGTTGGTTTTTTTTTTTAATAATTTCACGTTACACGCAGGGAAATTGAGGCTCACAGAGGTTAAGGAACTCCACCGATATTGACTCGTATCTTCAATTACTCAATATTGTTTCTTTGAGTTGAAACCATCAATGTGCTTTTTGAGTCACCGTTAGCACCGGTAGTAGGGTCAGTAGGGGGATCAGAATCCTAGGAATTGTCCCCACATTGGGATCTGAAAAAAGCGCCTTGGGATGTGTGTGTGTGTGTGTTGGGAGTGGGGAGGGCTAGTCCTGAGTAAGGGGCCTTGCTCTTTTTCTTTTTTCTTTTTTTTTTTTTTTTTTGGTCTGGTTCTTAGCTTCAGAAAGTCCTAAACTGGAAGGAAGGAGGATAGGAAAAATAATTTGCGTATTTTAGATTTGGTACCTCACCAAAGACTAATCAATGATGATGGCTCAAAGCAGAAGTGCATTTCACTTACAAATAAAGATGCAAGGTTCAAATGAAATACTAGCAATTTGAGCAAGAAAAAAAAAATTATGAAATAGGATTGAATTCTGGGATACAAGGATGTTTCAGAGCAAAGAAATAGGTCAAACAGACTAAAGGGAGAGAAACACCCTGTCGGTTGAAATAAAGCCTGTGAAAATAAAACATTTGATGACAAGAAGTAGTCTTACTAAAATTAAAATCAGTGATAAGTGGGGCACCTGGCTGGCTCAGTCAGTAAAGCCTGAGACTCTTGATTTCTGGGTAGTGAGTTCGAGCCCCACGTGTGGCCTAGAGTTTTTTTTTTTTTATTATTTAAGTTTTTTAAAAGTCTTAATTGGTAAAAGAGCTTGGCTTTTCTTTTCTTTTCTTTTCTTTTAGAGCTTGGCTTTTCAATGTCATTCCTAGGGAACAAAGGAATATCTGTAAATGAAATTAAGACCTATTCGACCACCTTACGATTTTAAAGTTTTGGATGCAAAAGTGTCTGCAAAAATAAGGAAGGGGCACCTGGTGGCTCAGGTGTTTAAGCGTCTGCTTTCCACTCAGGTCATGATCCTGGGGTCCTGGGATCGATCCCCCATTTGGGCTCTCTGTTCAGTGGTGGAGTCTGCTTCTCTCTCTTGCTCTCCCACTCTCCCTTCTTGTGCTGTCAAGTAAATATAAGGAATAAATTGGAAAGAAATATTTATAACATGTAACAAAACCAGTGTCAGAATATGAAAGCTATAAATCAGTAAGAAAAAGACAAAGATGGGCAGAGAATATGAAAAGCCATTTTCTTTCTTTTTTTTTCTTTAAGATTTTAAAGACCCTGGGATCATGGCCTGAGCTGAAGGCAGACACCTAACTGACTGAGCCACCCGGGCACCCCTGAAAAGCAATTTTCAAAAGAAATTTAAGTAGCATATAAAGGTATAAAAAAATGCTCTACTATACAACCATTAGGGAAACATAACTTAAAATGATAAGATACTGGGGTGCCTGGGTGGCTCAGTTGGTTAAGCACCTGACTCTTTTTTTTTTTTTTTTTAAATTTTATTTATTTATGATAGGCACACAGTGAGAGAGAGAGAGAGGCAGAGACACAGGCAGAGGGAGAAGCAGGCTCCATGCACCGGGAGCCCGATGTGGGATTCGATCCCGGGTCTCCAGGATCGCGCCCTGGGCCAAAGGCAGGCGCCAAACCACTGCGCCACCCAGGGATCCCAGCACCTGACTCTTGATTTCAGCTCAGGTCATGATCTCAGGGTCAGGAGATAAGAGCCCCTGTAGGGCTTTGAGCTGGTGGGGAGTCTGCTTGATACTCTTTCCCTCTCCGTCTGCCCCTCCCCCCATCCTGGACATCCTCAATCTTTTTTTAAATATATAAAATAAGCCTCTCTCTCTGTGCCTCTCATGAATAAGTAAAATCTTGTAAATAAATAAACTAGTAAGATCCCATTTGTGTCCATCAGATTAACAGAAATTAAAACATCAAATAAGTGTTTTGGGGTTGTAGGAAGCTGCTACTGTAAGGGAGGAAATCTCTTTTTTTGCTCTACTCTTCTAAATTCTGGGCTGGGGCCCTGTAACAAAAGAGATTAACAAGAGAAAAGCATATAAATTTTTTTTTAAGATTTTATTTTATTTATTTGACAGCACAAGCAGGGGGAGTGGGAGAGAGAGAAGTAGGCTTCCTGCTGAGTAAGGACCCTGATGCAGGGCTCCGTCCCAGGATCACAACCCAAGCCAAAGGCAGACATCCAATCCACTGAACCACCCAGGTGCCCTACATTTCTTTACCATAAGTTTTATGGAACATGGAAGCCTTCAAAAGGAAATGCAGGGCAGCCGGGTGCCGTGATCCGGGGCGTGGTCCTGGAGACCCCGGATCGAGTCCCGCGTCGGGCTCTCGGTGCATGGAGCCTGCTTCTCCCTCTGCCTGTGTCTCTGCCTCCCTCCCTCTCTCTGTGTGTGTCTCACGAATAAATAAATAAAATCTTAAAAAAGAAAAAAAAAAGGAAACACAGACCTGAAGAAGCAGGTAAGCCTGAGTGGTGGTGGTGTTTAAAGATTATTCACAAGAGGCATAGAGAGGCAGAGACATAGAGGGAGAAGACTCCCCACAGGAAGCACGATGTGGGACAAGATCCCTGGACTGGGATCACACCCTGAGCCAAAGACAAACGCCCAACCGCTGAGCCACCCAGGTGTCCCAGCCTGAGTTTTTATGCCATGTTTGGTGGAAGGGTAGAGACTTAATGGGAACGTGAAACAAGACAAAGAAATATGAGCTCAGTGCAGTAAACGGGGAAACAAGCAAGGCCTGTTGATCCAGATTCCTCCTAGTGTCTTGGAGAAAAAAATGCTCCTTTCCTCTGGGTACAGGGTGGGCACCTCTCACATGAGAAGCTGTGACCTGCCTCAGGGAAGATCAGAGTCCTTGCACCTGCTTTCTTTCAAATTCCATTACCTTAAAATAGTCCATATACCACAGTGCCATATTTGGCGGTAGTTTAACATGAATCCCCTTATTACAAACACCTGGAGAGAAATTTGGCAATTTCCAGTCAAGGTAAAAATTTTCATTCCAGGGACACCTGAGTGGCTCAGTGGTTGAGTATCTGCCTTCGGCCCAGGGCATAATCCTGGAGTCCTGGGATCGAGTCCTGTGTCAGGCTCCCTGGATGGAGCCTGCTTCTCTCTCTCTCTTTCATGAATAAATAAAATATTTTTTAAAAAAAATTCTCATTCCTTACATTTAGGAATTCCACTTACAAGTGTGTAACCTAGAGAAGCAGTCTCACATAGATGAATATGTAAATCTTTATTGCAAACTTAAAAATAATTTTGTTGTGGACATTTCCAAACATACATTAAGTAGAGAGAGTAAAAAAATGAGGGATCCCTGAGTGGCTCAGTGTTTGAGCGTCTACCTTCAATTTTTTGAGGAACGTGATCCTGGGGTTCTGGGATCGTGTCCTGCATCAGGCTTCCCGCGGGCAGCATGCTTCTCCCTCTGCCAATGTCTCTGCCTCTCTGTGTCTCTCATGAGTAAATAAAATCTTTTTTAAAAATCCACTTTTACCCGTCACTCAGCTTCAAAACTTCAATATTTTTGCCAATATTTTAAAACTATTCCTTGCCTCAATTTCCCCCTTCTCTCCCTTTTTCTTTCTTGAGTATTTTAATGGGACTCCTACGCATCCTATCATTTCACCTATAAACGCTTTATTATGTATAGTAACATGCTGTTGGCTTGATACCACCTAATAGCTAGTCTGTGTTCAATTTTCTGTCTCAAAATATCTTACTGTTGATTTGCTTGAATGAAGATTCAAAAATTTCCAAAAACATTTCAAGAATTTCCACACATTACATTTGGTTGATATGTCTTTAAATCATTCTAAATCTATACTAGAGGGCAGCCCGGGTAGCTCAGCAATTTAGCGCCACCTTCGGTCCAGGTCATGATCCTGGAGACCTGGGATCCCTGCATGGAGCCTGCTGCTCCCTCTGCCTGTGTCTCTGCCTCTCTCTCTCTCTCATGAGTAAGTAAATAAGATATCTAAATAAATAAGTCTATAATAGAGAATCTTGGGGCACCTGGCTGGCTCAGTCAGGAGAGCTTGCAACTCTTG